GCGTGTGCCTGTTTCCCGGCGGGTCTCCAGAGGCAGGCGCACAAGATGGCGGGTTTGACGGCCGTGGGCAGGGCGCTGCGGCTCGGCCTTGGACTCTAACGTGGGCCCCTAGGTGACGGGTGGTCAGAGCGACGCGGCCGGTCCTTTTGGGGTGCAAGGCCCTCTCACTGCTGCTCTGAGACCTCGCCGCCTTTCCAGCCCTGCCCCGGGGCGGAGCCGCTGGAAGGTCAGGCCCTGCCGCCACGCCCCGTCCCTCCTCGCCCCGGGGCGGTCTCTGTGCTTGGCCGACTTCAGCCACGTGCCATTTCCATGGCGGCCTCACAGCTACCGGGGGAGATTAACGTTGTGGCGGAAGAGACAGCCAAGACCGGGGATAAGGCTCTTCTGGGAAACGACTGTCCCGAGCAGGACAGGATCCCCCAGCGCTCCTGGAGGCAGAAGTGCGCCTCCTACGTGCTGGCGTTGAGGCCCTGGAGCTTCAGTGCCTCCCTTACGCCTGTAGCTCTGGGCAGTGCTCTGGCCTACAGATTCCAGGGCGTCTTGGATCTCAGGCTGTTGGTGGGTTGTGCCATAGCGGTCCTGGCCGTGCACGGGGCCGGCAATTTGGTCAACACTTACTATGACTTTTCCAAGGGCATTGATCACAAAAAGAGTGATGACAGGACCCTGGTGGACCGAATCTTGGAGCCCCAGGATGTTGTCCGCTTTGGAGTCTTCCTCTACACCTTGGGCTGTGTCTGTGCCGCTTGTCTCTACTACCTGTCCCCTCTGAAACTGGAGCACTTGGCTCTCATTTACTTTGGAGGCTTGTCTGGCTCCTTTCTCTACACAGGAGGTAAGAATTGGCCTGTTTCCTGGGGGTGCAGGTCTTAATCGCATGTACTGGAAACTGCTGCTTTGTATAGGAGTTATAGGGATGTCAGATATTCTTTTCTAAATTAGGCCACTTTACCTGAAATCTGTGATGTGTGGATCATGTGGATTTTTTAAAAACAGTAAGTTAAGAAGATCCTACTTGACTTATGGATTTGGGGCATGACTCAAATATCGACGTTTTCTGTGTCTAGTTTCCTTGAAGAGCTCAAAATTATACAGCTAATTACTTTCAGCTATCTTGCTAGGTGACTTCTTGCAGCAGGCTGATTAAGGTAGAGATGGGCTGGTGGTTAAACCTTATTTATGGTGCACCTATTGAGTGCCAGGCACTGTTCTGTGTGAATACAGCAGTCACATCCCTGCCCTTGTGGAACTTATTATATATCATGAGGAGAGACAGAAAGTAAAAATAACAAATTATAGTTAGGATGACCAACGCCCTAGTTTATTTAGGACTGAAGGGATTCCCAGGATGTGGGATTTGTGGTGCTAAAACTGGGAAAGTTCCTGGTGAGCAAGGATGACTTGGTCCCTCTGATTATAGTATGTGAAAGATAAGTGCTATGGGGGGGGAAAAAGTTGAGCAAAGTAGGGGGACAAAGATTACTATTTGAAGTAGTTCGATCAGGGTAGGCCTCATTAAAAAGGTAACATTTGAGCTAGATTGAAAGGTGAGAGATGAGGGAGTTGGTCAAGCAGAAAATCTGGCGGGAAAGCCATCCAGGAAAAGGGAACACAAGTGCCAAAGGCCCTCAGACAGGAGTGTGCCTGAAGAGTGTGAGGAGCAGCAAGGAGTCCAGTGTCTGAATGAGGGAGGGCGTAAAGGGAGATAAAGTAAGAGAAGTATGTTTGAGGACAGGAGGCAGGCACACAGATTATAGGCCTTGTAGGCCATTGGTCTTTACTCTGAAATGGAGGAGCCATTGCAGGGTTTTGAGCAAAGGAGTGATATGAGATGACTTAATGTTTTAAAAGAATCTCTCTGGCTGAGATATTGAGGGTGGACAAAGGGGAGTGGGCAAGGGCAGAAGCAGGAAGACCAAGCAGGAGGCTGTTGAGCCATCCAGCAAAAGATGTCTGGTGGCATGGATCTGGGCGGTGGTTGGAACAGGTAAGTAGTCAGATTCTGGATATATTTTGAAGGTAGACAGGGTTCAGAAGCAGGAAGACCAAGCAGGAGGCTGTTGAGCCATCCAGCAAAAGATGTCTGGTGGCATGGATCCGGGCGGTGGTTGGAACAGGTAAGTAGTCAGATTCTGGATATATTTTGAAGGTAGACAGGGTTTGCTGATGGATTGGATGTGAGGTAGAAAGAAACAGAGGAATTAAGCATAACTCAAAGATTTTGGCCTGAGCAACTGGAAGAATGGAGTTGATGTCCTCATGTGAGATGGAGAAGGCTGAGAGGATAGATTTTTGGGGGAAATCAGGAGATCGACTTTGGATATCTTAACATCTATTAGATCCCCAAACTGAGATGTCAGATGGGTAGTTGGATATATGTAACAGTCTGAATTTAGGGAAGAAGTCTGGGCTGGAGATTTAGATATTTGGGAGTCATTGGCATATAAAGTTGTAGGACTGGGTGAAATCAGAAGAGGGAGTGTTGGCAGAAAACTGAGGAGGGTCAAGACTGAGCCCTGGGGCACTCCAACATTAAGAGGTGGGGGAGACGGGCCGGCCCGTGGCTCACTCGGGAGAGTGCGGTGCTGATAACACCAAGGCCCCGGGTTCGGATCCCATATAGGGATGGCCGGTTTGCTCACTGGGTGAGCATAGTGCTGACAACACCAAGTCAAGGGTTAAGATCCCCTTACCGGTCATCTTTAAAAAAAAAAGAGGTGGGGGAGAAGAGAAGGAACAGGTAAAGAGGGCTGTGAACGAGAATCCAGGGGAGTAAGGAAAACCAAGAAACTGTGGTGTCCTGGCAGCCAATTGTAAAAAAGTTCAATAAAATCAATGGGATGCTGTAACAGAAAGTATGAGGTGGTGATGGTGAAGGGAAGAGGCCCTCTCTGTGAAGGTGACATTTAAACTAAGACTTGCAGGATAAGGGGCTAGCCATGAGGCAGAATTGGAGTCAGATTGTGTTGCTGAGTTCCTCAGAGCTGAAGGATCAGCAAGTGCAAATGTTCTGGGTGGCAGAGAGCTTGGCATTGTCTAGGATCTACTGAAGGGCCAATGTGATCCAGAGGGAGAATGAGATACAGTTGGGAGAGGTAGGTAAGGGCTAGATTATGCTGGTCTTACAGAACCTCAGTCTCCTCTGCTGGTTCCTCCCCACTCCCGAACCTTCAGGGCTCAGTCCTTGTACCTCTTTTCTCTATTTCCATTTACTCCCTTGGTGATTTTAGCTAGTCTCGTAGGTTCTGCCATCTGTTAAGCTGGTGACTCTCTTGATGTGAAAGTCATCTCCACTCATATACAGCTTCTCCCCCCCGCCCCATATCCAACTTCTTACTCAGTAACTTCTCCTAGAGGCTTTGCAGATATCTCAAGCTTAACATGTCTGAAACCAAATTCCTGATCTTCTCCTCAAAGAAACCTGCTCTACCCACGGCTTTTTTTTTTTTTTTTTATTTCACTCAGTGGTAGCTTCATCCTTCTAGTTCTTCATGCCAGAAGTCACGGGCATCCTTGACTCTTCTTTCCCACATACTGCCTTCAGTTCACCAGCAAATCCTGCTGACTATATGTTCAGAATGTGTTTGGGATCTGACCACTTCTCACCATGTCCTACCTGACTCTGGTCATCCCTCCCTGGATTACGGCAGCAGGCTCCAAACTGGTCTCCATATCCATACCTGTCCCTTTCAGGCTGCTCCCAAATCAGCTGCCAGAGCAATCTTGTTAAGACACAAGGAGGCTATGTCAGTCCTCTGCTCAGAACTCTCCAGTGGCTCCCATCTCGTTCAGAGTAAAGGCCAGGGTCTTTACAGTGACCCAAAGGGCCCTACATTCTCTGCCCACCGTCTGCCTCCCCCCACTCTCTGACCTGCCCTCCTCTCCTGCTCACCCTCGGCCAGCTACACTGCCCTTCTTGTTGGTCTTGGAACCTGCCAGGTGTGCCCCTGCCTTAGGTCCTTTGTAGACACTGTTCCTCTGTTTGGAACACTCTTCCCCCATTTATCTGTGAGGCTAACTTTCTAACCTCCTTCACCTATTTGCTCAAATGTGAGTTTCTTAGTGAGGCCTTACTTTCTACCTTATTTAAAATTACACCTCATGGGCCAGCCCGGTGGCGCACTGCTACAGTGCGCCGCTTGGGAGTGTGGTGGCGCTCCCGCCCAGGGTTCGGATCCCACATACAGACCGGTTCCCGCTCACTGGCTGAGCGAGGTGTGGGAGCAACACCGAGGGTTGCGATCCCGTTGCCGGTCCCGGTCCAGTATGGGTGCAACACTGAGGGTTGCGATCCGTTGCTGGACACGAAAAAAGACAAAAAAAAGGAAAAAAAAAAAAAAATTACACCTCATGTCCCCCCCGCCCCCATACCCTCCCTGCTGCTGTTCTCTGCTTTATTTTTCTTCACAGCACGTATTACCTTCTAACATATATAAAGTACTTATTTGGCTAATTATCTTCTCCCTTAGACTGTGAGCCCCCTGTAGGCAGGGATTTTTGTCTTTTTTTTCTCAGCTGAACCCCTCGTGCCCAGAGCAGTGTCTGGCATGAAGTACTTACTTAAAAATGTCACTCAAATAAATAAATGGGAAAACATTAAAATGTATTGAGCAGAGTAATGACAATCTGATTTAGGTTCTTTTTTTAACATTGATTTTTATTGATTATATAATTGACATACTGTGAAATGCACAGATCTTTAGTGTTACGGTTTGATGAATCTTGACAAATGCATGCAGCTGTGTAACCCACACCCTGTCATGATGCAGAACCTTTCCATCAGCCCTGGAAGCTTCCTTGTGCTCCTTCCGGTCAGTCCCACTCTCCTGCTCCTATCCAGAGGCAGCCACTGTTCTGGTTTCCTTACATATATTAGTTTTGCCCAGTCTAGAGCATCATATAAATGGAACCATTCAGTATGAACTATTTATGTATTTGTTTGTTTATTTCAGTATGAACTCTTGTGTCTGGCTTCTTTTGCTCAGCATGATATTTTTGAGATTCATCATGTTGGGAGTCAGTAGTTCCTTTTTATTGCTGAATAGCATTCCATTGTCTTAATATACCACAATTTGTTTATCCAGTTTCCCATGCAGGGACATTTGGATTGTTTCCAAATTTTGGCTATTATGACTGAACATTCATGTTCAAGTCTTTTTGTGGATGTTTGTTTGCATTTCTCTTGGGTAAATGACTAAGAGTGGAATTGCTGGGTCATAGGGTCAGTGATGTTTAATTTTATGAGGAACTGCCAAACTGTTTTCTGAAGTGGTTGTACTGCTTTACATGCCCACCAGCAGTACACGAGTGTTCCAGTTTCTCTGCCTCTTTGCCAGTTTTTTGATTTATGTTTCAGCAAATTCTGGCTGCTGTGTGGATTACTGGCCCAGTATCTCACAGTGCTGGCTCATTCAGAAGGTAGTATTGGCAGGGGTGGGAATGCCTGAAAGGAACCTCCCAGGTGGCCACATCTCTGAGTCACGTGGAACACGTGAGCTTGGGACATACAAGCATATATATTCGGACACTTAGGAAACAGGCCTTTTTTCCCAAGAGCTCTATTATTTTTTTGTCAGATGACCTCAAGAAGGTCACCAGATCCTCCTCATTCCTGGATTGGGTTTGCGCTTGGTTTTTGTGTAGTACCTTCTTAAGGTGGGGACACAGGTTTCTGCTCAACTTTGCTCACGTCATTTTTTGCCAGGTGATCTGAGGAAATTCTCTTGGAGAATCCAGCCAGACGTCAAGGCTGTAATTCTGTTGCATTTTCTTCTACAGCCAGAGTCCTGAAGGAGACTCAGGGGACTGAGAAAAGAAGCAGAAGAAGAGTGGGCAGCTGGTGGAGAAACTTGCTAGATCTGTGCTGGGAATATTCCTGCCTGGCATCTTCTTTGCAGGGGCAGTGGTGGTCCCCTAAATGTGTGAAATATTACAAGAGACATCAAGTTACTAATTCAGAAGTTGGAGTTGGTGTTCTGCTTGAGGGAACTTCCTCCTAGAGGGCATGTCCTCAGACAGCCAAATTATTTATCAGAGTACAACTTTTGGGTACAGAATTAGCTTGCTGGGTGTTGGAGAGTGTCGGGGCAATGCCTATGATGCCTTTCCCTGGGAACACTTCATTCTAAAGAACCAAGGGTGGTGGTTATGCATCAGAGAACCCCAGCTACTGATGTGAAAGTCAACTTGGGCTAAATCTCATTCCCTGGCTCCCACAGTTTTAGATCTTCGGCAGACCATTTTCTTCTACCATTTTAGACTGGTTAAAGTGCATTTGATCACTCAAGTTTATTTTCTGATCCTGAGGTCACACTTTGTAGCTTGGTTAGATCTGGAGGTTTCCCAAGCTTCTGTAGCAGTGTAAGTGTGGGTCACCTCCTTTGGTGGGCACCTCTCACCTATTCCATACTGCTTTACCTGTTTGATTCTGAGTGGGAGATTTCATTCCAGGTGCTTGTTACTGTAGCTCTGTGTTCATTTCAGTCCTTATGCCCCACATTGGGGAGCAAGCTGAGACCAAGCCAGACACAAGGCCCTACTATCATAGAACATACAGTTTAGTGGGAAAGACTAAATGTAATTAGAAGTAGGATGAATGGAGCTTATGAAAGTGGCCATCAGGGTGCCATGGGAGCATACTGTATGGGGACTGAATGTGGTTTAGGTGGTGAGGGAAGGCTGTCTGGAGGAATGGACTTTAAAGTCTTACAGGGTGAGTAAGAGTTAGGCAAAGGGAGGGTGTCTGAAGGCCCTGAGGAACTGAAAGAAGTATGAAAGGAAAGGGGCAGGGCAGGGCTAGAGATGAGCCAGGTTAAAGATCTGGGACCCTTATCCCAAGGACAAGTGGTTGATAAAGGTTAAGGTGTGTGTTGGGGGGAAGGGGGTGGACAGATTAGTGTTTTTAAAGGATCACTCTTACTGCCGTGTGGAGATTAGATTAGGGATGGGGAGGGGGAGGTTGTTACAAGATTGGAAGCTGCAGGACCAGCTAGGAGGGTGTTTCAGTATTCCAGGCATAAGATGACCATGACTAGGATTTGGGAGTAGAGTGAGGTGGGATGGAGAGACAGGACAGGCTTGAAGGAAGTGAGTTAGACTGGCTTTGAAGTAGATTGGCAGGACACAAGCAGGAGTTAGGGATGATTTAATTTTAACTTCATGGGAACCAGAGGAGGAAAGCAGCACTGTAACTTTGCTGTCTTAGCTGTTTTACTCATGGGGGTTGAAGTTTCTATATGTGGGAATTTAGGGGCCCTGAAATTTCACTGTAATCCACTGAGGGTTTCCAAACCAGAAGATGCCTCGAGAGATTGTAGAGGAAGGAGGTGTAAAAGTGGGAGGCTGGGATGGATATTCTGTGAGTGACTGATGTAATGGTGTCTTGCAGGGGTTGGTGAAGGGTGAAAGAAACCAGATAACTTGATTATAAGGCCTTTTAGATCCTTCATGGGCTCTTCCATTGAACTGTGTGTATAGCGGGATCCCAGTGCTCTTTGTTGGGGGATAATAGGAAGGAAAACTTGGGTATGAACCTGAGAACAGATGGACTCTGAAGCCTAACTGGGTATTTCCTCTATACCTGTGTCATTGGAGAAGAAATCAGATTTTGCTTTGGGGAGGAAGGGAACAGAAAGAGTGTCCCACCCCCGCAGTCTAAGAATTCACCTTTCCTGGCCAGAAGTGGCCTGCTTCTTGACTTGGGATGTGGACAGTTTCTAAATTTCCAGCTGTGATCTCAAACCAGCTCTCTGGGTTTTCTGGCCTTAGGGATTGGATTCAAGTACGTGGCGCAGTCTAAGAATTCACCTTTCCTGGCCAGAAGTGGCCTGCTTCTTGACTTGGGATGTGGACAGTTTCTAAATTTCCAACTGTGATCTCAAACCAGCTCTCTGGGTTTTCTGGCCTTAGGGATTGGATTCAAGTACGTGGCTCTGGGAGACCTGATCATCCTCATCACTTTTGGCCCTTTGGCTGTGATGTTTGCCTACGCCGTCCAAGTGGGGTCCCTGGCCATCTTCCCCCTGGTCTACGCCATCCCCCTTGCCCTAAGCACTGAGGCCATTCTCCATTCCAACAACACCAGGGACATGGAGTCCGATCGGGAGGCTGGCATTGTCACGCTTGCCATCCTCATTGGCCCCACCTTCTCCTACGTGCTCTACAACACACTGCTCTTCCTGCCCTACCTGGTCTTCAGCGTCCTGGCCACGCACTGCAGCATCAGCCTGGCGCTTCCCCTGCTCACCATTCCCATGGCCTTTTCCCTCGAGAGACAGTTCCGAAGCCAAGCTTTCAACAAGCTGCCCCAGAGGACGGCCAAGCTCAACCTCCTGCTGGGACTTTTCTACGTGTTTGGCATCATTCTGGCACCAGCAGGCAGTCTGCCCAAACTTTAAGGGCACTAGCAGCTCCCCCCCACAACATGTCCCCCTTTCTTACGTTGTGTGGAAGTCAGAGCATCTGCAAAGGGAATGTGCTTTGACAGTGAGTGTACAAGCATGGGTGTAAACTCCCACCTTTTTATTATTATTATTATGTTCTTAAAGATAGTCTGGTTTTGTTTTTTGTTTGTTTGTTTGTTTTCTTCTATTTTTATTTTATGGGGAATCTTGAAACCACTCTGATATTAGAAGAAGGTGAATTGGACACATGGCCCTTGTTTTATTTATAATTTCCTCTAGAGGGTGTTGTCAGGTCACTTTATAATGGAATGGGCCGAGTTCCTCCTTGTTCCATGCAAAATGGCCTAAGGTTTTAGAATGAGCTGCCAGGTTGGCCTTCCATCCTGAAAGAGCCTCTATAACTAGGCAGAGTGTTGTCCTGTCATCTTGATCTTGTAAGATATGGTCCTGATTGATGCCAGGCCCGTTAATATGGGGAACGCCTGTCTCATGCTTGGCACTGTTGTCCTGAAATGTGCTGCTTGAGAGAGGCAGTTCCTCATTAACAGTGGTCCTCATATGGTTCCCGGCTTTTTGCCTAAATTGTGACTCAGGCACTTTTGTTCTTTGTCTCTCCTTTCACTTATTGGTACAGTTGAGGAAAAGAGGAAAAGTGTCTGTCACCCTGCAGCAAGACAATCAAGCTGGCGATTGGGAGGCAAAAAAAAACCCCACCTTAAAGGCAACTGAGAAAACCACTATGCTGCTGGATAGAAATTAGTAGGGTGGCTGTTTGCCCCTTGTAGAATCTGCTAGAATGACAGGAAGGACTCCTAGCCCTTTCAGTAACTATCAGGAGCCCTGGAATTGTAGAGGCACTGCTGGCCTTGCAGGCTGTTTAAAACCCACTGGGCTTTTTCCTCCCTATTGCCTCTCCTAAAGCTCCCCTGTTCCAATATCCTGTCTCTATCAGGCTCCCATTTGCGTGTTTCCCATCTGTGGAGCCAGACTGTTTGGACAATAGCTTAGCAACTGAGTCACGGACAGTTGCCACTTTCCACAGAGCCACAGGATGGGCAGAGCAGGGGCCCAATGAATGTACAAATCAATGGATGACAATCCTGGGCCCTGTCCAGCCAGAATGACAGGCCCTGCCGTTGAAGGAACTGTCTCTTCATCCCTGAAGACAGACACGCGATATGGACGCTGCCTCCCCTGGCTTCTGTTGCCCTGTGAGGAGATAGTTGAGGGCGTCAGTGAGCTCACACTGGGTGCAGGGATTCCAGTGTTGACCGTAGCTGCTTTTCATTGCATTGCCTGTGAAGTGTAGTTTCTGGGCTAGAACTGTTCGGTTACATTTGGCCTAAGACTGAAATAGATTGAGACCATCATCATTGTACTTTTCTGTTGTGATTATAGATAGCTGTTCTGGTAGGTATTTCAAGGTTTGGGCCTGCAGAAAATCATGTAAGAACAGTTCTTAATCCTTCAGACTAATTATGATTTTGCTCCTTGAGTTAGAATTGGTCAGCTTATTTGGAAAAAATGTACTTTGAAATTGCATAAGTTCTTCTAAAGGTAGAGGTGATTTTTCTACCAGAGAGCCAGAATCGAGCAGTGGTCAGAGCCCAAGGAACAAGGGAAGGATGACTCTTCTTGCTGCTGTCTTCCTAGCACCATTTTTGTTTCATGCCAGACTTGTGGCATTTTGGTGCTCACAGGGGTCCTGCCTTCAGGGAAGCTCTTCTCACCTCTCCTTGGAACAGGCCATTCTCAGTAGGGCTCGCCCCTGAGGCTGGCGGACCAATGGCTTCCTGCAGCCACAAACCAGACCTGCCTTTGTGGCCACTCCCATTGGGGTTGTCAGCTGCTGCAGTTAGCTCTGGTGCAGGTTTCAATGCATATTTTTATATATAAATGTTCCCCAAAGGCCAAATTTGGTGCCAGATTTTATATGCAGGTCACCATAATTTGTATTATGTCCCCTAGTTCAATGAAGCTTTTCTTTAGACTTGTTAATTAAAAAAGAAGATGTTCATCAGTGGTCTGACTCCCAGTTTTTCTTTGCTTTTATTTCTCTTACCGTCTGATTGTGAACTTTGAAGCGTAAATCTCAGGGAGACCAGGGCAGGGATATTGGGACTTTGGGGTGGGGGGGAACCTGCTCTTTGGTGATGAATTTGGATAGGGTGTGGCCACATTTGATGGGCCCTCAGAAAAGGCAGTAGGGGCCACTTAGAGCTCATAGGGATTTGCCAAAAGCCAGTCAGCAGTCAGGCCAGATTAACCTCGTTTCCTTTTGTCCTTTCCTACTTTCATTTTTATTTTTTCTTGATAGGGTCACTGTGCTGATAGAATGTGAACATGTAGTAGGTTAAGTACATCTGGGTTTCAGGTAGGCATTTGACAGTATATCCTACGAACAGAGATATGTGGAATGGATAACAGTGTAGTTAGATAAATTCCTGATAAGCTGAACAAGCTGAGGGAGAGAGTGGCCTGATCACTGTGTGAGTGTCAGCTGGGAAGGATGCCTTTAGGAGCACATGCAAGCCCTGCCCTTTGCTTGGCTAGATGCAACACCTGTTATTAATGACTGGAATGAGGCAGCCAAAATTGCAGGTTTCATGAGTCTCGGAGGAAGAGCTTATAAAATGACTGACAATTAGGACCCTCATAAATTAAAAGGCAGCCTTTTTTTTTTTTGGTCAAAGGAAAAATTTAGCATGAATAAATGCAAAGCAATAGGCTTGGATCCCAAAAATCAACAGCATCACATCAAGAAGGGGGAGATCCATGATGTGACGGCAGATGGGGGAGGGGTATGAATTTTATCAGTGACTGTAGGATACAACATCACATGCCTTTATTTTTTTGACTAAGATTTATTCTGTTACCTCTGTTGGGTAGCTGGAGATTCAATCTCAGTCACCTCTTGGGCCCCCTCCTCTTCCTCTAGGATCACCGGGGACTCCTGGCTTTGGTGGAGCCAGAAGGCAGGGATTTGGGGCTGGGCCCTTGCTCCTTTGGCTCACCATCTGTAAGGTCACCTCTCTGCTACATGATGCTGGGGTTCGGCCCTGGAATCCACCCTTATCTTGAACATGGCTGCTCCAGAAGGGTTCAGAATGCCCTTTCTGGCTGACAAGTACTGTGGGCCTGCATTTCTGCCCCACTGCATTTCTGCATTTCTGCCCAGTCTCAGGGAAATACCATTCTCTCCATGATCTACGCTGTCCACCTCCCCTACTCAAAGCATTTCCCTTCTTCCCTACCCTTTGCAGGACCTTTACACAAAATCCCATCCAGGGAACCTTTAGATACTCAGTGCTGGCCTTTTCTGGAGTCAGGTGGGGAAAGAAGATGTGAATACATCATATTCTTATTAACTTTTTTGTTACCCCTGTATGAAACCCAAACCTGAGCCTGTGACTTGGCCTGAAGTTCAGTTTGAGTCAATAATGAGCTCTGACTTCCACAAAGGTTAATGTGATCTGGGGTGGAATTAACAGGAGTCGGTGTCCAGAACAAGGCAGACAGAAATCCTGCCCATTCCTGTGTTGGTCATACCACACATAGTGGGCTGAGCCAGTCCTGGGACACCTTCTTTCCATCTTTCTTTCTTTTTTTTTTTTTCTAGATAGAGTCAATGTGGTGGTAGATCAAACACATGCTATGCATATAATACATTTGGATTTCAGAAAGGCATTTGACAATATGACATCAAATGTGGAATGGATGAAAATCCAGTTAGAGGAGCTTTATTTCCACATGCACATGCATTTGTGTTTTTGCATTGGTGATAACTGCGGCAGAGATTTTAGGTCTCTCAGTATGGGAACCACTTTTTGAAGATGTTATTAACAAACTGGATCTTGTCCAGAGAACAGTTGGCAGACCAGTGAGGGCACATAAAACCATGTCAGTGTGGAAAGGAGACTCACGAGAGGGCTGTCTTGGGGAAGAAGGATTGGGCTTTGTGTGTGCATCCATGTGTCATGCCCTTTCGTATGTGACTTCCAAGGGTAAAACTAGAACCAGTGGGTGGAAGTTATATGGCACCAAGTTTAAGCTCTTAGATCATGAAGAACTTTCTAGATGAATCAGCAAGTGGGACATTGGAAACATCCCAGTGGACAGTGAGATCCCTGTGACTGGAAGAGTTCAAGCAGAAGGATGACACCTTGTCAGAAACATTGAAGTGAAGAGTCACTTCAAAGAGGAGTCAGGTGAGAGACATTTAAGGGTCTTCCTATCCTGCAATACCATGGTTCTGTTATGGGCTTCTCTCTCAGACCTGCCCCCAGGGGTTGAGAGGACAGAGTACAAGAAACATGTTGACATTTCTTCTCCTTGACGTCAGATTGTTGTCTACAATCAGATGGGAGGACGGCTTCCTTATTCCTTACAGTGATGGCGGGGAGGTGTGAGAACGCCAGGTGAGGAGACAGTCATGGAAACGGAGTTGCCTCTGAGGCACTTGGGTTTCACACCCTCCTGACAGCGTTTGCTCGTCCTGCCCAGCCAAGGTCCCCATGCTCCAGCCTGTGTAGCCTCTATAGCTGAAGCCCTGTGAGGGGCTCTCTTCAGATCCTCCTGTACATCAGCCATGCCAAGGGCAGCACCTCCTGTATAAGTGGATGGTTGGAGCCCCCAAAGGACTTAAAAATCTAACAAGAAATCTTTCAGGTGAGCCAGGGCTGCCAGAATTGTGTGTCTGATGTCACAGCAAATCTCATCCTTCCATCCTGATCCTGCTGCCAGGGTGTGGGGGCCGAGGCATCTTTTCCTACAGAGGGCGGGGCACGTGGGCAGGGGCCAGTGGTGTCCCCCTGTGGATGTTACTGTGATTCTTCCTCAGCACCCCCATGCACAACGAGAAAACCTGATTTACCACATTACAGTGCAAACGGATTCTCAACACCCCAGAAGGATTCTTCGCTTTACAGATGGATTCCGAGAGAATTCACTTAAACGGAAAGTCCTCTGGCGCATTTACATGGATTCTATTCACAAAATACCCCTAAGCAGCAAAATCCCAGACCTGTTTTTGTCAGTAAAGTGAGGCACACTGCGACTCTGAGGGTGGGGCTGGAGATGACA